TAGATATATAGATAGATAGATAGTTAGATAGATAGATAGATAGATAGATAGATAGATAGATAGATAGATAGATAGATAGATAGATAGATAGATAGATAGATAGATAGATAGATAGATGAGTTAGTTCTCAAGCAGCATTTGAGGCAATAGGTGCGTTTCGGAGTATCGTTGAAGATAGATAGATAGATAGATAGATAGATAGATAGATAGATAGATAGATAGATAGATAGATAGAGATAGATATATAGATAGAGATAGATAGAGATAGATAGAGATAGAGATAGAGATAGAGATAAAGATAGAGATAGAGATAGAGATAGAGATAGAGATAGAGATAGAGATAGAGATAGAGATAGCGATAGAGATAGAGATAGAGATAAAGATAGACTGAGATAGGGATAGAGATAGAGATAGAAATAGAAAGAGATAGAGAGAGATAAATAGAGATAGAGATAGAGATAGAGATAGAGATAGAGATAGATATAGATATAGATATAGATATAGATATAGATATAGATATAGAGATAGAGATAGAGATAGAGATGGATAGATAGATAGATAGATAGATAGATAGATAGATAGATAGGTAGATAGATAGATAGATAGATAGATAGATAGATAGATAGATAGATAGATAGATAGATAGATATAGATAGATAGATAGATAGATAGATAGATAGATAGATAGATAGCATAGATAGATAGCATAGATGTAGATAGATAGATGGATAGATAGATAGATAGATAGATAGATAGATAGATAGATAGATAGATAGATAGATAGATAGATAGATAGATAGATAGATAGGTAGATAGATAAACTTAAATGAACCGTTTTTACAGCGGCGATTTTTTAGTTTGAAGATTTTTTTAGTAAGACTCTATCTCTATTTTAGGAAGTGTCGAAGATGAACCACTTCTTTTATGATTTATTTTCGATTCTTGAACCACGTAAGCTTTCTTCACTTTTTTAGGAAATACCCTGTACATACAGATCACAGATTATGTATGTGCATGCATACATTTCAAATAAATTACAAAGTAAACAAATAAACTATTGAATCAATATTCCAACATAGGCCTTTCCTTTTTAGCTCTTCTTAAATGTCTTTCCTTACCTACTATGGGACTGAGGTACCTAATACTGTAAGTGTTCAGTATAATGTGAGGAAACCGTTCAAGTTTGAATAAAACACCAAATACTTTAATGTTATTTACTGATTTTGCACTATTGAAATGATGGGATCAGTCATATTTAATGTGAAAAAAAATATAATGTGTAAATACAGACTTGTTTTGTAAATATCATAAAATGTTTAGAATATTGATTTTTTTAACGATAAATCATTACATGTTAAGCAGACTGTTTATAATTAAATGATCCAATGTAAACATTATGAAGTTCATGTTCTTTGTTTTGAAGTTTTAAGACGAAATTTAGATGTACTATAATGTTTACATCAACGATAGTGGCCATCAGAGACTAAATAAGTCGTACCTTAACTGGCAACTGCATATCTGCCTCCATATCTCTCTGTTTTCGCCAAAAACCAATGAATACCTTAAGCTTCTGGTTTACAATAACAAGGTTGTACATCTTACTCGGTTTTGAGATGGTTATTAAGACTAGGAATATTTAGAGTCTGTGTTAATTTAATAACCATCAAATAATTGAAAACGCTTACTTAATAGTGCTGATATCCTTTTATGCCAGCTGCTGCCATTGATTCAATCTTCAACTAATTTTCGAATATTTGAAGTTTTTGTTCTAAAATATAGTTCCGGAACTCAAAAGATTTTCATTAAATTTTGTGTTAGTATTTTTCATTCAAATAGGTTTATGGATCATAGTTAGGTAATGTTCCACTTTAATCTCAACAAGGCAGTGAGGTAGACAAAAGGTTGATGCACTGTTTGCAAAATATATGGTATTACAGCTTTTCTGGATTAATCTTGCAGATGTGTTTGGGAGCATTTTGTGAAATTACTATACAATCAACATCTTTCATAACATCACGTTCAGATTCAGATGTTACTGTGCCTTCTGAATTCTCTCATTGTGTTAAACAGCAAGTTGTCGTGGGTAGCCTGGAAGTCAATATATAAATGAATTTATATTTGTTATGTGTTATATTTTTACGAACATTGGTCTGTTATATTAAACATAACGGATCAGCCACTGAATTATTTC